TACATAAAAGAAAACAGGGGATATACGACAGGACATCTATTGCAAAGAGGTATTTGGGGATGCAACTACAATGGTAAGGGAAACAAAAGCAAAAATAAACAAGTGGGAGCACATCAAACAAAAACAAAACAGCAGCCTATAGAATGGGAGAAAATACTTACATATCCAACATTTGACAAGGGGCTAATTTCCGAAATATACAAAGTACTTATGCAATCCAGCAACACCAACAACAAAACAGACAACCCAGTCAAACAATGGGCAAAAGACCTAAAGACATGTAGGTGGCTTACAGACATACACAAAATTGTTTAACATCACTTCTTATAAGAGAAATGCAAACCAAAACCACAATGTCCTCAAGGTTCATCGATGTTGTCAGATTTCTCCTTCCTTTTTAGGGCTGAATGATATTCCATTGTATATGTGTATACCATATTTTGTCATCAGTCAATGGACAGTAGGGTTGCATCCACGTTTTAGCCATTGTGAATAATGCTGCTATGAACATGGGTGTACAGATTCCTCTGCAAGACCCTGCTTTCAGTTCCATTGGGTACATACCCTGAAGTGAGTGAGTACCTAGGAGTGACTGGCCTGACTTGGGTGCCCTGCCCATCATGAACTAACCCTGGAGAAGCATGCAAAATTCCATGTCCACACTGGCAGAGGCCCGCCCAGGAAGCAGGGACTGGGGAGAGGTCTGCTTCTGGTGGCTGCGGGTCAGCATCAACACAGACATGGTATCAATGAGTACAGACAAAGGTATCAGTGAGTAGGGAGTAAACACACAGATTCTCATTGCTCTCTGAAGCAAACTCTGGATCTCCCATCTATGTCTTCTTTTCTTTGTAAAGCCCCCAAGGGCTGCTGAAGCAACCTGTCACAGTCTTACTTATCAAAGAACAGTCTCGATTGCTAGGCTTTGTGAGTCTCAGTTGTCACAGTGCCTGGAGGAGGTTTGATGTTGGGAAAGAGAAACAGAATAAAACAAAGCAAATGGGCAGAGGCAGAAAACACCAGGAGCTCATTTGGATAGAACAAATATTCAGTGGATTTATCTGGTCTCTGCCACCAAAATCTAGGACCTCTCGATCAATATGGTCCATGAGAACCTCCTTTGAACATCCTGAGAGAGCAGAGTTTTCTCTGTCAAGGGTTGCCTATTGCAGTCAGGATCTCATCGGCAGAAGTGCATGGCTGATGTGGTGGAGTCACTTATCACCAATGGCACTTAGGAAGGAGGCCTGTCTGAGGACCAGACACCCTTCCCAGTATCCAAATGGATTTTTGTATTAATCTTTCACTTTTGCACATTGAAACCATCTGGCTTTTTAAATATTAACCTAGTGTTTTGAAAGAAGAAAGAGTGTGTTTTCTTCCACAGAAGTACTTAATATGGAGTAATAACTAGCAGGAACCTATTTATATTGCTAATTATAAAATCACAGCTACCAAGAAAGACTGTCCACAAATAGCTTTTCATATCATGTGATATTTCTGTTAATGTAGTCGGTTAAAATATATTTTTATGAGATGTCTGGCTAGTTTTATGATAACAAGTAAGGATGTCTGGAGTTTAAAACTTCCTGGCAAGAATATTCAGTCTTAAGAAGGAAGTTCTGACACACACTGCAGCATGGATGAAGCTTGAGGACGTGCTGAGTGAAAGAAGCACAAGGATGAGTGTTGTATGACTCCAGGAGGCATTATATGGAGGAGTCAAAATCACAGAGAGTATGAGGGGGGCTGCAGTGTTGGGGAGAGTGAGAAACAAGGAGTTTTTGTTTAATGGAGACGCAGTTTCCCTTGAGAAAATTCTGGATATGGACGGTGGTGACAGCCGCACCACAGCAAGGGATGGGTTTAATGTCACTGAACTGCACACATAAAAATGGCTAAAATGGTCCATTTTATATTAGGCATGTTTTACCACACAAAACAATTTTGTGGGAGACAATATTTTCCTTTATGGTTTTTAAGAAAGTACAAATAAATGTTTCAAAAACATGTAGAAACTTCTAGTAAAAATGACATGGGAGTGTGCAGAGGCTGTAAGAATGTTGGTTGTGAGAAAAATTCTGTAAATTCTGGAAAATCCCTTTTTCTAGTCATAGGATGTTTACTCTCACTTTGATAAAACCAAGTCAAAAAATCAAGAATTTGTATTAGAAGGACTCATGGTCAAACAGAATAGAAAGTCTTGCTTCGTATTATTTTTTCTCTAACATTTACACTTGTCATTTTATTTATAGGGAATACACATACCATAAAATTCACACATACCATAAAATTCACACCCTTCGTGTTTATAAATCAGTGGTTTTTATTATCGTGACAAAGTTGTACAAACACCACCACTACCTAATTCCAGAAGCTCTCCACCCAGTCCCCAAAGAAGCCATCAGCAGTCCTCTTCTTCCAGTCCCTGACAACCTCTAATGTAGGACTGTCTGTGAATTTACCTATTCTGGACATTTCGTTGAAATGGGATCCTACAATAAGGGGCCGTCTGTGTCTGGCTTCTTCTATTTAGCGTCATGTTTTCAAGGTTCATTCCTTTTGTGGCATGTGCGAGTACTTTGTTCTTTTTTATGGCCGAATAGTATTCCATGCGATAGAGGTACTGCTTTCTGTTCATTCACCAGTTGGACTATCTCCACATTTGGGGAATTGGGAATAAAGCTTCCCAGTGTGAACACTCATGTACAAATGATTGTGGGAACATCTGTTTTTAATCCTCTTAAATACACACCCAGGACTGGAGCTGCTGGTTTAACTACTGGAGGAATTGCCAGGCTGTTTTCCAAAGTAACTGCACCATTTCTCTCTCTCGCCAGAGGTGTGTGATGGTTCCAAGACCTTGACACTCTCACCAACACTTGTTACTGTCTTTTTTCATTTAATTACACCCAGGCCAGTAGGAGTAAAATGGTATCTCATTGTGGTTTTGATTTGTATTCCCCAGTGGATCTTCTCCTGCGCTTATTGACTTTGTGTATATATATTTTTAGAGAAAGGTATTCAAATCCCTTGTCAATTTGGGGGATTATTTGTTAGGTGGAAGAATTCTTTGTATGTTCTGAATATTAGTTTCTTATCTGATATATAATTTATAGCTATTTCTCCCACTCTGTGAGTTAACTTTGTATTCACTTGATGGTACTGCCTGGAGTCAAAAGTTTCTGATTTTGATGAAATCCACTGGACTTAAGGAATTAGCTGGTGTTATGAAGGGAACAGACCACATTTATAAAATATATAAAAAGCACTGAAGCCTAAGCCATTATATCTAAATCGTGGAGTATAAGAGAGGACTTTGTAACTGGTTTAAAACTCTTTGGGATCAGAATGCTCCTATTACTTAACATTCACACTTGAACTTGACCCATGTTTTCAGTATTGTGCTATGTCCACAAGGGGTGGAAGGACTGGGCAATACTGCTTCAAGGACAGTCCCATTTAAGAGTCATGTAACAAATACACTGTGGACTGATTCACTGATAGTAGCGCATTAGAATTCATCCAACTTCTTGGTGATAACTGCCAGTGTGGTCACCTCGGTCTACTCTTCCTACAGTAGCTCTGGGAAGGCACCAACATGGAGATTTCTGCTCTTCAGGAAAATCCACTGGTCAATGGATTTCCTGTGCGATGTCTGTCATGGCTGATACTAAATCTAAACTCCTTCCTCCGATGTCTGCAGCTCCTCATGGATGGAGCCATGCTACCTCCGATGGGAACTTTGTGCTTTACCTAGAAGCCTGTTAACCCCAAGGCACTAGTCACCACCACTGGAGAAGTGGTGTTCTTTTCAGCACACGTGACACGCACCCCACTCTCAAGTGTATTTGGCAAGAACTTCTGAAAGTGCATCCTTCTTCAAGGGCCACATGACATTATGATTCAGGAGCTTTAGAAAGGAACTACCTTTGGACCTAGGAATTCCAATTCTAGAATTCCTCCACATAAACAAGCAGACAAGTGTGCAAAGATGCCTGCACAAAGACAAGTATGTGACAGCATTGATCACAATAACAACAAACCAAAAGCCACCACCAGAAAAACAGAAACGAGTCTTAAAAGAAAAGGTTATTTTTCATGTGTTAAGTATTCATATGTTATTCTAGGTATCGAAACTTTCAAAGTGTGGGGAGTTTTACACCATAATGTTAACAATGATTATCTTCAGGTGACAGAATTATCAATTACTCAGAATTTTCTTATTTGCTTTATCTGAATTATCTATTTTTTCTAAAATGAACATGTATTGCTCTATGAATATAATATTATTTTAGGCAATATTTAAAGTGGTTTTCTTAAAGCCACTATGTAGTTGGAGATTACTTTTTTATTCAAACTGACAATCTCTGTCTTTGAATCGGAACTTTTAGGTAACATATTAATGTGGTTATTAATCTGTTTGAATTTTAATCTATCATCTTATTATTTATATTTGTACTGTCTGTTCTTTGTTATCCTTTTCCCAACCTTTAAAAGGTTGGAGGGTACTTTTAAATATAATTGCATAATAAGTTTTGGTAAAAATTCCAAATCCCTCTTTTTAACTGATTTTTTAAGATTTATTTATTTATGCACACAGGATCTGGGGTGCAGGTCAGAGTTGTAGGGGGTGACAGGATTCACCAGAGACAGAGTGGGGAGCAGAACAGGCAGGTCTACTGAAATACACTGCGGATGAGAGTAGAGGGCAGACAGGAGAGGTCTGCTGTGCCCTGAGCTCCCTGGCTGGGGATCAAACTCATGCTGCAGTAGCTGTGGATTGCTTCATAGTGCTGACGCTTAACCTCTTGTGCCACCAGGGAGGCCCCCCCAAATCCCTCTTTGAGAGCTTTTTATGGAGATTCCTATTTCCGAGGCCAGATGTTTAATTGTAAGATGCTCTGTTTCAAATTCATCTTGAGGTTCATCCCTAGGGGTTCTCCACATCACAGAAATTGCCCATCAAGCCCAATGCCATCACTGAACAAGACTCTTACCAGATAGGCTCTCCAGAAGGACTGAATGATAACCGCTGCCTCCTCTTCCGTCAGCAGGAGAGAGAGTGGGACTGGATGCCGTGGGCTGAAAGGAAATGAGATGGTTGGTCATGAGCTCATGGGAATCTGTCCTTAAGCCTCAGCCAGGCCTTTGACAACACAATGACCTCTCTGATTAAGTGTCTCATCCATTCTTATTCTGGTAAGCAACAATGTCAATTTTTATTAAAAATAAAGTTTGGGTGGGGGCCTCCCTGGTGGCACAAGGGGTTAAGCACCACACTATGAAGCAATCCTCAGCCTCTGCAGCACGAGTTCGATCCCTGGCCAGCCAAGGAGCTACCCACATGGCGCAGCAGACCTCTCCTGTCTCGCCTGCTGCTCCCCTCAGCAGTGTGTTTCAGTCAGTCTGCCTGTTCTGCTCCCCACTCTGTCTCTGGTGAATCCTCTCACCCCCCCCCCACATCTCTGGCCTGTACCCCAGCTCTTGTATGCATAAATAAATCTTTTTTAAAAAAAAGTTTGTGGTTGAGTTAGCACTTTTTTTAAATCTGAGGTGTATTTTAATCTTAAAACATTTAAATTGCTCTTAGCCTGCTCTCCTCTGAAGGGCTCAGGCTGCTCACACTGTCTGTCAGTCCTGAAGGCGCAACATGTTATTGGCATAAAGCTGTGTGGACAATAAAGCAGGAAACAGAGCAGAAGGAACCGTCACAGAGGGCACGGTGACTGCGACTTAATAAAAGGCTCTTTATCTGACTATCTATTGAAGGGAAATTCTATTCAATTCTATCTCATTCCTGTAATAATGGCACTTATCTCTGATCAGCATGCATTCTAGTTTAATGTGGTCTAAATTCAAGCATATTTTTAAGTCCAATTCTGCCACTACATCTTAATTAAAAAAATATCTCCAATGTTGGGTCAGTCGGCAGTGTCTGCTCTTGTAGGATTTTTCCAATTCTGATGTAATTTTTCATCATTAATACCACGGTAACAAATCATAGCTAAATCTCTTTTCTCTCTGCTGCCTCCCAGGAAAGTTTTATAAAGAATTACCTGCTGACAAGACCTTGTAAGTGTGACTCGGTTCTGGTTCCCTATGCTTCCCTAAAGCACAGCTACCTCTGAAAACAAGAATCAAGACTTTGTAGATAAAGTACAAAGAATTAAACCTCAGAAAGGATGTGGGTCATCTAGAAGCTGCTCCCAGGGCAGGAGCCCCAGAAATGAGTTTGCAAATGAAGGATTCCCAAGCGCCCTGACTCAGAGTCTCCCTTATGACAGCCATCAGTTGAATTTACAGCAACTCCCACTGCACAGAGAGGTTGATTCACCTGCCCAGGTCACGCAGCTTGCCAGTGGTCTAATCAGGATTTGGGCCCACACCCACTCCCAAAGCCCAGGCTTCCCTCACCATGCCATGCTGACACCACACCTCAACTGGGCAAACTATAGATGCCCAGCGTGGCACAGACTGCAAAGCTAACTGGCATCAACACATGATTCTTCAGGATCTGGGGGTTTATTTTCCCTATAGACTTTAATTTAAACCACCACCAGCAAAAAAAAAAAAAAAAGAAAAAAAAAAGCTGCCTTTGATACAGTGTATTTGTTTGAATGAATGAATATTCTATTGCATTACTGCAAAATCAAAGTAATTCAGGCCAGGGAGAACCTTGGGGTTATCTAGGCTATTTCAAGGGAGGGAGTGCTGTGGTGTTGCTAAGTTCTGGGTGTCCAGCCAGGCAGGTCCTTCCTAAGAGATCCAGTAACTGAGAGTCTCCATTTCTTTGGTGAGATAATGACACCCTCAAAATGAGAGATAGCATTGTTAGAAACCTTTCCCTAGTGTTCTATTTTTATTTGCATGATGTGGTAGCCTTTTTTTTTCTTGGTTCTGTTTTCTTTCTTACTTGCCTCGTATCTGGTTTTCTTACTTCTTTCCTTGTATCTGTCCTGGAGTATTTGCCTTTGGGGGTGCCCGGGACTCCCTGTTCTCCACACTGAAATGTCTCTCTTGATCCACTATCCTTAGTCTGTCTACCTTGATTGTGTGACACCAACAAATCACATCCCTGAAGTAATTCTCCTTCCTAGTTCAAAACCAACAGCTTCTAGAGGCACCTTGCCTTGGGGTTTCTCCAGAGAATTTGGCATGCCAGAAGTAGGTTTCTGAGGTGGTTATCACACACCTTGCCAGCCCTTTAACCTCCTCAAATGTCATTTTTGATAGACATGGACCTCTGCAGAGGGGCTTTCCTCTGCTTCCAGTACCTCCTACCTCCTGCCAGGGGACTGCGTATTGTTAAACATGTTGTTCTCGGCTCAAGGAAACCAGGCAGATGGACCAGAAGAGGCCGAGACCCAGCCCAGGTCTGCTCTCTAAGCCAGGCTCCTGGATGGGGCCGCATCTGCCCTAGGGTGGGGGCACCTTCTCATAATTTGCTCAAAGGCACGTTAGAGTTGGGGGGTGGGGGTAACACCTCTTTCTCTTGGTTCATTCTTATTCTTCTTATCTCCACCCAGATGTTATGGAAAGATGTCTTCTGATTAGGTCAAGGCCTAGTGAAGGTCTGTGTGATTTTCCTTCCTAGTGCTTGGCCCAATATAAACTTGTGTGACTCTTCAACTGGATTGAAGTGCTACAAGAGCAGAGATGAGGCCTGTGTGGGCTCTTCTCTGTACTCCCAGACTCGGGACAATACCGGGCACATATGAGGCACTCAATCCATGGGTGCCTGGCTCAGAGCACATTATTTCATTAAATCCTCACAACATTAACAATAAGCTATTGTTAACCCTCAAGAGAGAAGAAACTGAGGCAGAGAGGGAGGAAATGATTCATTCAAGGTCACTGGCTATTTCCTGCTGTGACTGCAACCGCCCAGGAAACACAGAGTGTGGCCAAGGAGGAGGGCAGCTGACCGGGTCACTAAGAAAGAACTCGAGGTCTCGCAGCTGCCAGTGTTAATGGAGGAAAGCACAGTCATCACCCAGAAGAAAGAAATGAGGGGGGTGGGGGGAGCTGTAATCATAGAAAATGCCCGCTTCGCTAATCCTCGCAGTGATAACTTGGCAGGTATTTGTCTGAAGCTCCACGGGGAAATTGATGTCAGGGGAGCAGAACCAAGTGGAGTTTGTCACTTGCATCTGATGGGAGATTTGATGGTGCCTTTCTGCTCAGCTGCAATTTTCCTACTTAGGGATATTTTTCTTGACCGATGCCATGAAATCCCCGGGGTAACAGTATTCCTGTCCTGGAACAGCAGTGGCAAAAGAGGCCGGCAAATCTTGGGGGACAACAGGCCGGGTCAGCCCAATGAAAGGCTTCCTCAGCTGGGAAGCCCCGAACCGCTTTGCAGGGCAACGGCATCGCCGCAAAGAAACATAGGATTTCTCGAAGGCTTTTAAGCGGTAGTGGGAGGCCACCTTTCGTGACATCCCTGCTTTCATGGCTAAATATAGGGTGCTGTCTAGTTCCCGAATCAAGAATAAGTATGAGACTGCTGGATGAAAAGGACTTAATCTTTGCAGCGCAGTGATCAATCACGTCAGCAGCCGGCCTGAAGGGAGAAGCAGCACCAGGCCTTACTCTCTTTTGCAATCAGTACAACCGGCTGCGGGTCAAATAAAAAGAGACTGAGTAGAGGCATCTGCTCCTCTGAGGGAGGCGGGGAAGGACAGAAGGCAAACCTGTCGATCACAGGAGCAGGCAGCAAGGGCTTTCCCGCGGTTCCCATGGGTCAGCCAGGAGCAGAGGGGTTTGTGGGTCCAACCAGGAACAGGACTGCTGGGGACACCTCTAAGAACTGTTTCACTGGTCATGCTCATGAGTCACGTCCTTCTTTTTTCTCAAATGTGAATTAATTAAACATATTTGAATCGCAAGAATCAATGCTAGATTCTGAGAAGCAAGATTTTCCTGGTTGGGCATGTGAGTATATAAATGTACACACACACACACACACACACATGCGCGCACACACACACACACATATACGCAATTCCTCTCCCTCCCCCTTAGAGATGCTGAGTAAAAAAAATTGCAGGGTCTGAAGAAGATACGGGATGGTTACAAAACACATAAAGAGAAACTGAGAAGTTAGTCCTTACAGATTTCTCCATCCAGTTCTAACACAAGAGAAATGCCCTCCAAAGTGGCAGAGAAGCAGAACGAGGAAGGAGAAAAGCTTACTTTGTATGGAAAATGTAATCTCAGAATCCTAATTCTGTGCACTTTTCATTAGATAAGAAATTGAGTTGTTTTCTCAGAATGAAGGAGCACCCCCCTCGCCACAAGCAATGCCTTTTATAAAATGACACAGGTCCCAAGTAACCATCATTCATAAAGCCTTTCAATGGCCCAGGGCTGCCCAACATAGTCAACAAATGAGACTACTCCGTCCCACCTTCAGCATTAACTGGTTTCCCAAATATTTTGGGTTAGAGATATCACAGTCTTAAGTAAGGCCCTTCAAATAATAGGAAGAAGTACAATAGAGCTTAACTGGAATGGCACTTCTAGACACTGGCGACGAGCCAGTAGGGCAGAATCTCATAGGAGTCTTTCAATCCCAGACTCCTATGATGTTAGGGACAGCTCTAAAGCCAGGGAGGAAGCACCAGCTGCACTACTCTCTACCAGCCTGAAAGCACATTTAGAAGTGAAGGTTACTCGGGTGTGATCTGGCTGTCGCCCCCTCATCCACTCCACCCCTGGAGACAGACAAGCAGTTATTACCCAGCACCAGGCTGAATCATTCCCCCCGTTAAACACAAACTCTCGTCCCGTGTAATCAACCCCATCATCGGAAGCTGCAGATGGACCCAGTTAACAGCGCTCCCTAAACAACACAGTGCAAGACCACGCGCCCACTCCTGTGCCACAGGTATAATCAGCTTAAGAATCACAGCTGTGATACTCGATGTATTTAGAGAAATGTGTCTAGATTGCGCAACTGTTTAGCCTCTTTGTAACTGATTACATTTTTCTCCAATGTAACATAAGGAAAACCTTAGGAGATCTGTCTCCTCTCCAGTCACCTTCTTTCTGCTCCAAGGGTGAACCCAGGCTGGGGCAGA